GCGTACCAAATTCGCAATTACATGACCATGGAAGAGTACGAAAGGTTCCTACAAGAGAAACCAGCTCTAAACAACTCAGAAAAGAAAGAATAAAAAGTTTAACTCGTAATTGTTTATTTTTTTTACTTGTATGGGCAAGCTGCAAGAATGAAGTCGACTATCTCAGTCTTTGTCTTGACCAGTTGGACGGCTCTTGTGAGTATGTCTGTTTTGCGGTCTCCAGCTGGTGTCTGACCTTCGTAATTGCGCATGTTCTTGAGAGCTCCAACTGTAAATGATTGTAGGATGAAGAGTCTCTCAGACTGCTTGAGGTAGTCGTCTCTGTCTTTGACCGAATCTGTGGTGCGAGTCGAATCGGTCGATTTGAGGGAAGAGACTGAAAGCCTGTCATCTTCCATCGGGGCTGTGGCATAATCTTTGCGTAAGCGGTTCAGACCTTCTTCGAACTCTTGGTCTCTCTTCGATTTGGATTGAGATTGGAATTGCTGGGGTGGAGCTTGCTGGAACATCCAAGGGTTGGGGAAGTAAGGCATAGGCTGAGGAGGGTAGTTCGGGAAGCCTTGTGGTGGGTAGTAACCTTGAGGTGGAAATTGGTAGTAATTCGGAGGTACTTGCTGGAACTGAGGTTGCTGAGGAGACTGTTGTGGTTCTTTAGGTTCCTCTGGTTTGGGAATGGACTGGGTTGGTGGGACGTGGGACATTCGTTTGTGGCTTAATCGTCGGACCACAACGATAAAAATCTCTGCTACTAGCAGTACTTTTACTGACAGTAGCAGTACTTTTACTGACAGTAGCAGTACTTTTTCTGACAGTAGCAGTACTTTTTCTGACAGTAGCAGTACTTTTACTGACAGTAGCAGTACTTTATCGTCGAAAACCCTCTCAAATTTTCCTTTTTACTGACAGTAGCAGTACTTTTACTGACAGTAGCAGTACTTTTACTGACAGTAGCAGTACTTTTACTGACAGTAGCAGTACTTTTTCTGACAGTAGCAGTACTTTTACTGACAGTAGCAGTACTTTTACTGACAGTAGCAATGGTCGAGGTCGAACCTACCGACGAGGCAATTTACCTAATTGAAATTAACGAGCTTGTTAAAGACTTCCTCAGGCAGAATGTAAAAGGCAAGCTTGTTAACGGTTGGATAACGGGAAGGGCTGCCTTGAATCTCGAGACTTCGACCGGAATTCCAATTCAAATACCAGAAAACACTCCTTTCGACGACATAAAGCAAGCAAAGAAGGAAGCCATTATAAAGTTCTTTGCCAAGCGTCCTTGGATACTACTTCCAAACAGAGAGAACCCTTTCCCAAGAATGAACCAAATTCTCAAGGGTCTCCTTCACTTCTCGGGTCAGCCGTTCTACATAACCTGTGAAGGCGACATCCAACCAGTTCAGTAAACCTTAACGTTTAGAGTAAAAACATTTTTTCATTTTTTTGAATGAAGCAAGTTAAATTCGTCCCACACCAATCTCAATAGACCGATGAAGAGTTTCAAGCCATGGTTGAAGACGTTGAGAACGACATAGACGGCGAACTTGAAGGAGCTCAAATCACAATTGCAACCAAAATTGCAGAAGTCAAGGAACAGATAGCTCCACTTAAAGCTACCAAAGCTACTCTTGACCTCATGGATAGTTACCGTTTAGATGTCAAGAGTGGAATAAGACAATTAAAATTAAAACTCTTAAATTACGAAGCTATACTCCAAAGTTAGCAGAAATGAGAAGACTTTACCAGAGCTACTTACATGTAAGGGACTTACCTTCAAGCAGTCCGACCAAAGATGAATTTGTTGACATTGTCCCAATTTTGTCCGAAAGTCAGCTCAGATGTTTCGAACTGCTCCCAACATATCCAGAATATGAACGTTTGCCTGAACTCTTCCACAATCTCAAAAAACGTTTTTTGGTTCTCATGTTCGAAACTTTTATCGGAAGAGACAACAAACGTTCAGAAGAAGAACAAGATATTATTTTAAACTTGTTGTATGACTTAACCGTCATAACAAGCTTTTTGAAGTAAAACCGTCATTCTCAAACCACTTCATTTTTTCGATGTCCGAACAAGCACCGAAGCCGAACACAATGGCAGATGTCCTTTCAAGGTTGCCAGACAAGCGCCCAGTTCAACTTCAAATTGTCCAATTGAACGCTCATCTGACAAACACCATTAAGACTCTCCAAAGTAGTCTTATGTTAGAGATAACCAATCTCAAAGCCAATGTCCTCATGAACCAAGCTTCCAATGAGAAAGTCCTGAACGATTTCGCGGAAACCTTGCGCCAATACGACACAGAGAACCAAAACCTTGCCCGACTCATCTACCGTTTCTTCGAAGAGATTGACACCATCTGGGCGGCACTCGGAAAGGACAGAACCTCCAACACCGTAATTCGTGAACACAGAATTGCCGAAGGTATTATCAAAGAAGAGGAAGAAGAGGAAGAAGAGGAAGAAGAGGAAGAAGAGAAACACGAAGAAGAGGAAGTTTGGGCAACCCTTGTTATCGATGACGGTTACGAAATTTCCCAACCCTACCCATACCAAATCCGCAACAAGGAGACAGGCAAGGTTCTTACCCCAGTCCTCAACAACTTGGGACACTTGAACCTTAACCTTCGGAATCACGGTTCAATTTCCATGGGCAAGCTTGTCGCAATTCAATGGGTTCCAAATCCAGACAAGAAGACGAAGGTCAGACACATTGACGGTGACAAGCTCAACAACCGTAAGGAGAACCTCGAGTGGTTCTAAGAGTAAAAAAATTTTATTTTAGGGGAAAACCCCAAGTAAATTTAGGTGTTTATTTGGATAAGTATGTTAAATTAATGGTAATTTGGAAAATTAGTTCCCGACCTTTGAATTGGGCTCTTTCGTTATCCCAGTTGCGTAGGAGGTCGTCCCAGAGGAGTTGGTAGAATTGCCAATTCAAGGACGATTTGTCCTCCCAGGCATTGAGGATGTACTGCTCGTAGAGTCTCATGACCTCTGCCTTGCACCAGACACCCTCTCCCTTGGAACGTAAGGCTTCTTCGAAGTGCTCGAATGCGATTGGCTGCTTGACCATCCGAAATGACACTTTTTGTCCGTTTGGTCAATGTTCGTGTCTCGTGCCATAGTCGACGAAAATACAGACAAACAGGTTATATATGAGTTTGAGACCAAGAATGGTGTAACTCGACCTGTCCGATTCAAAGACTCCGAGGGCGACCATGAAATTAAACGGAAATTAGCTAGGAAGGAATATAAAATGGACTGGTTGCCACCACCTCCACCACCACCTTTGTTCCTCAAGTAAATAAGCTTTTCCCGTTCCCAAGAATTCCCACATTTTAATTCAAATTCGAATAAAAATTTTTTATTTCATGAAATGTTTAACTATTTCACCATCTTCTTTAACACCCCAGTACTTACGCTTGGAGAGGACATGAACTTCGGTGAAAATTTTGTCCAATTTGAATTGACCCATCTTCTCACCGACTAAACCCATTTCAATGAGTTTGTTGTATCCTTCTTCGTTCGTCATGAGTGCGTCAATGTTCTCATAGTAAACCTTGACTTTCGATTTGACTTCCGAGAAGAACTCATTGTAGTTGTCAAGGACTGCCTTTGCGAACTGAGGGTAAGACCAATGTTCGACAATAGGTTTTAATGTGGTTACTAAGCCACTTTGACCTTGAGTGAATTCGTACTTCAAAACAAAAGGAGAAAACCTTTCAACAAAGTTGTCGACCTTCTCATAATGTTTACTCTTCATCTCTTGAGGTTTCTTAATGGAATATCCCCATGTCGAATTCATAAGCAATTTGAGTGTCATTGCAAGTTTGGGGTTTGAAGCTTTCCTAATATCATACAGTTGTTGTATGACTTTTCCAACTGTATAGTTCCTTCCCGGGAACTCACCATCTTCGTTTGGAATTCCAGTCGGAATATATTGGACAAACCTCATGTACGCAGCGTTAAGGTCGACATAGTATATCTTTTCGTATGAGTCGAACTTGTCGCAACCAATGGTCCAGTTTGTGGAAATTCAAGTGAGTCTCTTATCTTCTGAGAAACTTCTCCTGTTATCTCATAAACATCTCGAAGCAACCTGTTTCATATAAAACCTTCTGACCTAACTCAGATGCTCTCCAATACAATTTGACGTCAATTGGATGTCTCAATGGAAGTTTGTTTATAGCATCTTGAAGTTCTTGCAACCTCATTGGAAGTTCTTCTGGTTCAGGTTGGTATCCGAACATACCAACTCCTTGTGGAACTGTGTACTTCTTTTGTACTAGAACTTTGTCTGGAACAACTTTTGGTCTTGCTAACAATGAAAAGTTTGTTTCGTCTTTTGGTACAAAAGTTTCTGTCAGCTTGTCATCTGGAATTGGTTCCAACAAACCTTTCTCGAAAAGAATGTTTACAGCTCTGACAATGTTGCACTTGCCTTTTCCGAACAATGGGTTTGTAAGACTTTCGTTCAACATGAAGTGGTTGTGGACAATTACAATCTTCAACCATGGTAAATTGAACTCAACAACATAGTCGTCATGTGAAGAACCTTTAGCTGTAGGTATGTTGACTCGGATATTGACATTTGCCAACGGTGCAATTTTTGCCAATTGACCTCTGAGAATGTACCTTGTCTTCACACATGACTCAAGATACTTCATCTTCTCATCTGTAACAAGACCAGAGTTCCTGAGACATGTAAGAATGCAAGGTTCATTGACAATTGTTTCAATTGAATTGTAAATTCCATACCTTGTCAAGTCAATGTCAGACTTATTTATGAAGGGAAGTATCCAGCATGTTGTCTGACTGCTTGAGGGTTAGGTTGGTACCATTCGAACTTGACACTTGCAATTCCTTCAATTGCATTCAAAATGTCTGAGTCGGAGTCAACCATTTGTTCTCTCTTTGTAGTCTTGAAAGCGTCAAGAAGTTTTGCGGCTGTTTGTTCATTGCCATGTGCATAGTAAATGTGACCATCCAAATCTGTTATGGTCAATCTGAGATTGTGTCCTTTCTTATTTCCGTCTTGTATGGCAGCAAGTACTCCCATGAAGCCTTCTTTGTTCTTTCCTTCGTCAAAGTTTACTGTAAAGGTTCGACCAGATGTAATTTGACTTCTAACTTCACGATACTTTTCATATGCATATCTTGTTCTTTCCATGGGAGCATGTGTGTCTTCACCTTTTCCTTTTTTCCTTCTCAAAGGATGCAATTGTTCGTCATGTTTCCAGTAGAATCTGGCAAAGCCGTCGTGTCCTTCAACTTGAGGTTCACTAACATCGAAAGGCATGTCCATAAGACGTTCTTCTTCTAACCTCTCTAGTCTGTTTGGATAATTGGCACGTGCTGTTTCCAAATCCATTTCGTAGCGAAGACCAGACAATTTGTCATAGACTTTTATGGGTCTTCCCTTCCTATATTTAAACTTCTTCGAAACTCTCCAACCATATCTTTGTAACTCTGCTTTTATTCTAGCAGACTTTCTATCCATTCTATATGGGGGCATTTTTATAAAAATAAAAAAATATTTTTTTCTTTACTTTACATAACGCCTGCTGCCATAAGTCTTTGACGCCAACCCATACCAGCTAATGAAGGTTGACTTGGTTTAGTTTCCAAACTAAACTTTGGTTTTGGTTTATCTTCAGTTTTTGGTTTTTCTTCTTCTATCGGTTTTTCGTCACTTTTCGGTTCCTCTGACTTTACTTCACTTGCAGGAACAGTTGTGTCGTCAACATCTTCATAAATATCATATGCCATTTGTTTTTTTTTCCTTTCAACTTTTTGTGTTTGTTGTAAAGTTTAGAATATTTCGACTCTAAGTCAATGAGATGTTCTATAATGAACTGTTGGTCAGTGAAGTAAACTTTTCCATCTGTTGTCTCGAAAGCTCCTTCAGACTTCAATATTTTATTTGTGAGAGTCTGTTTTTTTTTGAGATACTAGCCGTTCCATTTTTATGAAAAGTGACTTTGTAGTTAGGGTTTGTATTTCCAGACCTGGCACTTTCTATTATTGAATTTTTCTCTTCATCTGTAAGTTCTTTGACAGGTTTTGACAATGGTTCTGAACTTTTTGTTTGTGGTGTCAAATCTACCGTTTCAACTTCTTCGGTCATTTCATCTCAGTAAAAAATTTTAGTTTGGTTTGTTTTCAACTGGTTGTTTAGGTTTTTTAAGTCGGTCTAAAACTTCCTGAGGTATAGGAAGAACTTGACAAACACGTTGTAACTGCTGGAAGCCGACAAATCCATCTTGAACTTATTTGTCTCAATGCTGCATTGTTCATTTCATCTCAATAAAAAACTTTACATTCCCCACGTTTGAGGCGGTTGAGGTTGGTTATTGTTTACCCACTGTTGTGCATGGTTATATCCTCTGTTAAAGAATCTTTCACCTTGGTCCATATAGTGTCCTGCTTGGTTATAGTAGTCATTTGCTTTGTTATAATAGTTTCCTGCTTGTCTTCCTACATTGTCCATCCATCCTTGAACTTTTCCTCTTGTTTCAGGATTTGGAATAAGATTTGTTGCATCTCGTGCTACATCCCAACCTTTCTGTACAGTTTGTATAATAGGTTGTGCTTTCTCTTTAAGTATACCTAATGTACTCAAAATCTTCCTTCCAATTCCAAATGCACCTCTGGCTATTGTTCCCACTGCGGGTAAAAATCTGATGCACTCCTGCTAATGCGCCAAATAAACCCATTTCTTATGGGTTAAAAAATGACGAATCCAAACAAGGACCCCTATGTTTCTAAAGCGACAAGAAAGCACTCATGATAAAAATCTTTAGTTCAACACCAAATGCTTGGTTTATGGATATCTTGGAAAACATTCCGAGAGTTAGAACAGATGGACCTCCATACTGGTTAATATTTGTTGGTCAAAACACAAGATACTGTGAAGCCATACCATTATGGTCCAAAAATATTTTAGATGTAAAACTGCTTTGACAATATTCGTTGACAAATACCATCCAACAAAACTGACATCTGACTGTGAAAGTTCTTTCAAATCAGATGATATTAAAAACTATCTGCGTTCAAAAAATGTAAACCAATATTTCATTGTCGACCAAAACCATTCTGCTCTTGGTGTCATTGACGGTTGTATAAAAATGTTAAGAGACTTAAACCAACCACAAGGTGGTGAAGCAAATGAAATGTCATATGACGACAAATATAGACACTTCTCCATGGCAAAGATGAGACAAGTTTTAAATATTTACAATAACCGTAAACAAAAAGGTTTGGGAAACCACTCCCCCGAAGAAATGAAAAACAACCCTGGCTTAGAGAAAGACTATATATTTAATAATTTAGTCAAAAGAGACAAACAAGAAAGAATGCCGGGCTTCAAACTTCAGAAAGGTGACAAAGTAAAAATAGAAATACCTAAACGCGACCCATATGAAAATACTATTGACTATGACAACAATGGGAACCGACAGGTACTCACATTCGTGTTCGTAAAAATAGAAGAAAGTATACAAGAGAATATTATGAAGTTTTAGGCAAACATGGCAAAATGTACACACTGCAAGCAGAAGATAAAACTACTATTGTCAGACCTCGTTTCAAACTTGTCAAAGTTCAAGGTGGTATACTTTCAAAGACAGTTCCTAACAAATATAAGACAACTCCTGACGAATATGCTAAAGAAGTTGAAAATGACGACTAAGCAATTCTATACCATGCGTAAACTGTCATGTAAGGTGGCATGTATTCTTTACATTGTCCCGTTGTTTGTGTATATCCTGAAACGAAATGTGTATGGTTTCCTTCTCCCTGAGTGTCACTCCAGTAACAATTTATAGCAAACTTAACGTCATCTTTAACATCATATCCTTTACCTTTTGTCATTCCTGACCAATCCCAATATCTATGCTTATGCCAACCTGCTTGAGATGTACTTAAATCTATGTAGTGACTGTGTGCAGGTAAATTTTCACCTGTAATTGTTTTACTTCCACCTGTTTCCTTTGAAGAGTTTGCACAATACAAAAACCTGTCGACTATTTGTTCCCATGCACCAACACCAAACATTACTTGAGGACCTCTTGCATCCATAGATGTATAAATAGAACCTACTGGGTTCATTAAATCAAACATATGAGATATTATAGGATTGTCTCTTTTGAACTTAAAATATAGTGCAACTATTTCAGGTTTCTTCTGGTTTGTGTCAGAATATTTTTTATAATATAATCTTATGTTTTCAGGGTAGGTAAAATCTTGACTATAATATTTATTTCTGTCATCTGTATAATAATATACTATTCTCGTTTTTTCTATTGCATTATATCTTTTATATCTATAATAATCTAAATATAATGTTAGCTTTTGTTCATCTACATGTGGTGTTCTGTCGTCATCTCCATAGTCATAATAATGTGGTGCCGGAGCTGGGTCAGGCAAAGTCATATCTGCCATTTCATAAACTCTTAAATATTTCTTTTGTTCGTCTCCATATAAGTTTAAGTAGCAGTTGTTGTCTAATGGAACTTTAACTTGTGTACCATCATTCTTTTTATAGCTTACATACATTTCATTGTTATTTTTCGGAATGAGTTTATGCCGTGTACTATTTTTTAAGGACTGTACCAACTGCCATCTAAAATATTTATTTTCTTCATTGACAGAAAAGTCACCAACAATAGTTTCAATATTTTTTGTTCCTATCAAACTTTGGTATATTTAATTGACATATGTTTTATCTGCTTTATTTTCAAGGCTAACGTTTAAGTCTGTTATTTCAGAAGATGTATGTGTATGTCCAATGTCACTTTTCCTGTTTAAGGTTTCTTGTAAGTTTGTAATATTTGCAATGGTATGTGTATGTCCAACGTCACTTTTCCTGTTTAAGGTTTCTTGTAAGTTTGTAATATTTGCAATGGTATGTGTATGTCCAACGGCACTTTTCCTGTTTAAGGTTTCTTGTAAGTTTGTAATATTTGCAATGGTATGTGTATGTCCAACGTCACTTTTACTGTTTAAGGTTTCTTGTAAGTTTGTAATATCAGATATAGAATGTGTATGAGTCTTTTTAGAATATTCGTTTTCAGCTCTTGTCACTTCACTTGACATTTTATTGTCAACATATGTTTTGTCTGCTAGTTCAGGATGAGTATGTTCTTTTGTTGCATAAGCATTGTTAGCTCTTTCTTCTTCTTTTGCTATTGCATCGTCTACATATTCTTTGTCAGCTTTGTTGTCAACATCTGCTTTCAAAAGAAGTTCATTTATAGGTTTCTCGTTTAAAGTTCCTTTTGTTGGATTTATACAGACAGTATGGTTCTTATTGTCTTGAAACAGAAACTCATCTGTCATTGGGTTTATTGTCAGTTTTAAGTTTCCTTCTTTCAATGACTCAGATATCTTAGAATAGTTTGAAAAGTTTGTTGTGTTCTTATTTAGAGCTTGCATAATGAGTTGTCGGTTGTGTTGTATTTCTCTCATAGACGCTGTTTCATTTGACATTTTTATTATAGATAAAATATGCTTCCAATAGAAAAAGAAAATTCTAGAGTTGCTACAACTAAACCATTAGATGAACTTTTTACTAATGTCGGTCAAAAGTTTGAGACAGATACCGTAAAGCATGAAGGCTATCGTTTTGACTACCCATTAAGATGGTTAAGAGACCCATCTGTCACAAAAGCTATTGGTTTTCGTAGAATGAAGTTTGTCTCACAAGTTCAACAGGTTTTCCATTTATTGTAAGGTTTCATATAGATTATACATCTGAAGGGAAACGAAAAATGTGGGAAGAAATTGAACTAATACAAGTTGACCTCTCATCTTCTCTACAGGCTGCATTAAAAAATATAGAAGATAAAATAAATTCATGTTATGCAAAATATGCTGATGAATATGCGAATACCAATAGCACACTTTATGTGAGAATTGTATATGACAAGCAAAATTCACAAGTGTCATTTCAAATCTACGAAGACAATCCAAATAAAGACGAACAAATATATACAGAATTCACTGCAATGTCATGGTATTATTTGCAAAGAATGTTAAATCAGAAAGTTGAACCTCCTTTAGCAAATATCTACAGTCGATATGCAAGAGATGAACCATATTTATTTAAAGATGTTTTCGACCAAGATGCTGTGATAGTTCATGCTTCATTTTCTGGCGCCCAAAACTCTTTCTTATGCTTGGCAAATGACTTTTACGAAAAACCTACAAAGTTATACGAACCACCAAGTGGAAGTATTTCAGACTTTCAAGTATGGTTTACTACAGATGGAAGAAAAAGAATAATTCCATTATACCATGTGTTTACTTAGAACTTAGTTTCATATACAACTACTATCGAACGGTAAAATATAATTTTAATACGGTTGAGGTGTTGGATTGGTTGCCAACTAGACTGTGGTGCAGGTTCAGGCTGTTGTATAACAGGAGCTTGTTCTTCTGGTTCAGGGTCTTTAGGTATATACCACGAACTGACCTACTCTTTTGCCAATATTTTTGATACCGTTCCATACTCCTCTTCCGACAGATTTTTTTCCATTCCATATACCTCTTCCAACATTTCGAAAGAAGTTTCCTATCTTACTGAAGAAACCCATTTTACTATATGTAAAATCTAATGTCCGCCTAGTCTCTTACGTTTCCTGTTGAGTTCCATAGCATTCTTTAACTGGAGCTCATACATCTGTTTCTCCTCTGGTAGAAAACATATTCTGGGTCAACTCCTGTGTTCGCGTCATCTCTGCATAAAGTTGTTTATATCCCACTTCAGGGTTTGTATATAAACTCTTTCCATCTCATATTTGCATACCATGGTGGCAAACCTAACGCAGCGTCATTTGACATGGCAGTTTGCATTTTGTACATCTGTTGGCACTTGACCATAGTTTGCCATTGCAGTTTGTATTCTAACTTCATTTGGAATATTCTCTGGGTTTGGTTGTCCAGGTTGCTGTGCATTCGCTAAGTTCTGTGCGTCCATTTAATATTAGATAAAATATCTCTTACGAGTACATATAACTGAACATTTGCAGGCATTGGTTCATCTTCATATTCTCTGTACTTTTCTGCACGTCAAATAAATAATGACACAATGGAAAAAACCTAAAACAAGTAGTCCTATTTCAAACCACATTTACTTACTAATAAAATTTCTTTATTGTGACACTTTCTCCAGTTTATAGGACCTCTCTCATATTCTATCTTGTCATATATAAACTCATAGTCATGTATGTCCTCTAACCATCTCATAACGGTTTCCAAACCACTTTTATCGGATGTAAAGTAAAAGCATGGATGGTTATGTATAACGTCTAAAGTTTCTAAAGAGTCTTCAAAGTCCAGTCTACTTGGTATTGAAAATCCCATGTGTTATAGAACGGCGGGTCCACTATAAAGAAAACATTTTCCTTGTCTTTATATTTTTCATACAACTCTGTCCAACGACATCTCACAAACTCTATACCCTCAGTATATTTTTCTATGTCCTCTTTGAAAACATTTGTATAGTTAAGATATAAAACTTTTGACATAAGTGTTTCAATGTCATGAACTCTTATAGCACCACTATATAATAGTCTAGCAGATATACTATCCCAGTCTATATATTCTGCTTTTTTCAAAACCTCTCTCACAATATTTTTCTTATCTAATGGTATACGTTCCATCTTACCTATAGGTATCTTTTCTTTTAACTCTTTCAATATGTTGTTTGTGTCTGGAATATGTTTGAGACGGTTCATATAGTTGTCGAAGTCATTGCATATAATCTTTGAGTCTGGGAATATTGTATGACATAAATGGGATATATAGAAACTTCCACCGAACTAGGGTTGTTAGATTCCCGACGATAGGTGTCTTGGAAGATTTGCCTGGTGTCATCATAGTGTCTTTAAATCAAAAATTTTATTTAGGAGTTAGTTTTATTGATTTTTCAATAAAAAACATTTCTAAAACAAGAAAATAAAACGATAAAATATTTATATTTTATATAAGGATCTTATATATTTAAAATAAATATCATTTTATTTTTTTCATTGGTGTCTGTCAAACCATAATACACTATTCAAAAATTCAATGTGTCTTGCGGTTTCAAAAGACACCTTCAAATTGAACGATAGCACAGACACTATTGAATTTTACCCATTGTATTTAGTTTTTACCCTTTTTATTTTTAAGAATTAATGACTGAAACAGCCGTTTTGCTATGACCTCAATCACTTTTATTAAGGGTTTCGTTTTGCGAAAAAAACGTACAATACGCAATTTCGCTAAAAAACATTTAGCTAGCAATTTCGACCTTTGACTCCACTCAAGACGTCACTTTTTTAATTTTGCGGTATCATATTTTTGGAAAATCTTTATGAATATTATATAAAAAGTCTCTTTAATATCTATATTCATCATTTTTATCGATTTTTAAAGTTTTTGCGAAAAGTATTCAATTATTTTTGCTATTTGGTCGGGTAAATGTCAGATTTGCGACATTTTCTGATATGATATTCAGATTCTACGTTGATAATAATGCTTATAGAACCTCTTGCTATTGTGTCAAAATTGCGAAACCGATAGCAAAAATATCTCGCAATATCAAAATTGAGATATTGAGTGAATTATGCATTATAGAGATTAAAAATCTGATTTGTGAAAACATCTCATCAGTTTCTAGCTAATTCAAAAATCTTTACTATCTTATTCGATTAAAATGAAAAGGGAATAGTTTCATTATGCTTTAAATGACAGCCTTATAATATAATCATAGTTTTTCGCTCAATATGCAGCATTTTTTTTTCGAATCTATGGTCAATATCCTAAATACTGATTTGCTTTGCATTCATATCTCTTACATTTTCTATACCCACATCACTATTCATTGCTATTCCTATCTTTTCATTTTTGTTTGTTTCTCATAATTTCTCAAAAAACATGATAACTTGATATTTGTAAATATCATACTTTATAACGTAAATAAGAACTTGACCTATTAAGAAAAGCAGTAATGAAAAGAAAATCTGAAATTCATAAAAATTACAAGTTTCTGATGACAATTAGCTTAATTAAACCAGGTACAAGATTATATAATTGTATTTTCTATCCAATTATCCATATAATATCTTATCCAGAAAAATAACTTGATCAATACCAAATGATTTTTTAACTAGTAAATAAAGTATTTTCTTTACACACACATTGTATACATAGTTTTTTTTTTTGGTTTCGCAAAACATCCAAAAACAAATATGCTATAAAAGTGACAATTTTAGCAAAACGAAACCTTACTTTTATTTATTATTTTAAATATTATTTAATTTTATTATTTGAATAGGCCAACTTATATTTGAGAAGCTCAATTTGAGACCACTTAAACATTGAAATATCATAAATATTGAAATATTAAAAAGTGTATTTCAAAATATTGAAATTATAAAAATTTATAATACTGAAATTGAGACAAATTAATAAATTCAATGTGTTTTTTTGAAATAACTCTCAAATATTATTTTTTTTGTTTATTTAATGATGAATAAATATGATTGCTTTAGTCAATCATAAAAACTAATTTAAGTTTAAAATAATGAAAGGATAATTTGATCGTTTTTTAAAATACAATTATTTTTGATGATTTGCAAGAATCTTTGAAAAGAATATAATATAGGTTCTATTTTTGTAAATTTATCCAAATCATGTATTACATAAATTACGATTAAAACGATGAAAGAACCAAAAAGTGTGTTTTTGTGTTTTGTTGTTGCGTGTTGGATGCGGGATCCTGTTATTTCCGAAATCGACAAAAAATTTGGAAATTTAATTTCCGAAATCGAAATTATATTAATGTTTTTAATATTCTTATATCAAAAGGATTAAAGTTCATTAAGAGAAAAACAATTCTTCTTCTTCAATCTATTGGCGCATTTATTTCTACACGCCAATAAGGAAGGGAAAATTATAAGACACCATGGTGTCTTCAAAACGCTAATTTTTGATATTTTTAACAACCCTACACCGAACAAATCTACAAATGTTAGACCATTCGGTAGTTTCTTAAGTTTTCTCAATATAATATCTTTACATCTACTCTTATTTCCAAAGAACGGTAACGGTGGTTTTGTAAAATTCATTTATATATAATAATAAAAATGTTTTTACCCGAAAAGTGACAGAAAAGTGACAAAACATGAAAACATATATAATTTGTGAAAAGTGACACAAAAAGTGACATTTAAAAAAGTGATACTATTAATATGATGTAAATAACAACGGTTTTGGTTTTGTCACCGGCTGGTCGGCTGGGGTTCGGTCCTCCTCTTGGGTCTTGGGCAAAATTTCTTAGGGGCTAGAGGGCGCAACGCGCCTGGAAGCCCTCCGAATATAAACTTCATTTATACTAAACATCTTCGGGGCTAGAGGGCGCAACGCGCCTGGAAGCCCCACCAACCTGACCTTATGTGGCATTAAGATAAGAATCTAATTACGAATTATTGAATACTCAATCATAATTTATTATTAAAAAAGTGACATTTTTGTTATTTATGTAGAATCATTGTAAAAAATAAAAATAAAAAGATATGAATAACCAAACAAGTTACATTTACAATTTGAGCAGAGGTAAAAATTAAATTTTGTAATTCTAATATATCCATTCCCTCTATGTCCAATTTCTTGACCACCTAGAGGATTTGGCATTTCTTGTGTCCCATCAATCATCTTAGTATTATAGAATTGAAGCCCACTGTAGTGAATTGATGGATCTTCAGAATCAGAAAATTCAATTTCACTGGCAGATTTTGATGATTTCAAAACAGAAATACAACCTTTGTGGCCACTTATGTAGGTATAGATGTGAAAACTTAAATTTTATAATCCCTGGGATGCACTTTCTTCGATTTTTTTAAATTTTTGTATGGCATTCCAAACGGGAACCGCGGTTGGTTACCATGGATTTCCGTCACCGGTCACATTTTAAAGATTTTTAAAGCCTTATAAAAATATGCTTTGTAAATCATTTTTTGTAAATCGGCAAAAATTTGGTAATTTTCTTCAACTAATAAATCTGCGAATAGCATTTATAATACAAGAACAATCTTTTAAAATGCGTTTGATTCATTTTTGTATAATTTCATATAGGCACATATATTCTTCCGGGACTTTCCGTGATTTTACCGTAAAATCATTAGTTTACACCAATTTTTCCGTATTTTGAATAGTTTACTGCACTTTTTCCGTAAAATTGAGTTACGGGAATCCGCAAAATTACCGGACCTCATTTTTCATAGAATATAATAATAATATTTGATAAAAAGATATATTATTTATATTTTTGATTTTTGAATTACGGAAAAAGTGAATTGATAACTTGATTTTTTTATATGGTTAATTTTTCAAATGATATTATGAAGATCTAAAATATTAAAAGTAAAAAATTGAATTACGGAAAAAGTGAGGTCAAAGTGAAATAAATTTGCAGAACAATTTTCATTGAAATAAGCTTTATTTTTCATTATTAATAACAATGCTGTAAATAAACAGAAATTCATCAAAAGTGACAGCTCTCATTTTTTGACATTTGTAAATTCTAAATTGAATGAGAAAATGAAAATAATACTAAGCATAATACAATATTCTAGATTTAATTATAATTAGGAAAAAGTTAGTTTTGAGAGTACTTTTCATAGGCATATAGAATGAAATCTTCTGAAAAATAATATCACATAAACTCATATTATTTTCTAATATATAACTATTTTATATAAAAATCAAATTCAATGATCTTAAAAGCGAAGGATAAACCTCAAAATTTACGAATATAATGAGTGGGAATATAATGCTTATCTATCATAAACCATATGAAATATTAATTTTTGCTTTACGCCTAATTTTTGACGACAATTAGCAAAAAATGTTAAATGTTAACACTCAGTCCATTTGAATATGAAAAATAAAATTGACTTTGATTAAATGTTTTTATTTATCATGCAATTCTTCTTGCGACAAAGATTTGAATAAAATTTCAAAAAATAAGATAGCTTAAATAATATACGGTAGTGTTTACTAATAGATGAATAGTATATAAATTCTATTAAAATGGATTTGATCCAAAAAAATATATAAAATTTGATCATAAATAAAATCGTTTTAAATTACTTCTTCATTTCAATTATAACAATTATTTTTGGTTTTATAGTTTTTAAAGCTCATGTGGTTTTTTTAACCACAGAATACTTATGTGCTGTAGCAAGCTTGCAATCCAAAGCTCACGTTAGACAACAAGAGTCATGAAGTCTCATACTAAGGGATATCCAACATATATTTTAATAATCTAATGTTTGTGACAAATATTCAACATAAAATTAAGTTTTCGTTTCGTTACAAGGCATTCATACTTTGGAGATATCATATTTAATGTACAGAAAAGTTAATATTAAACAATACATGCTAAAGAATTAATAAATAAGATAATAAAATAAATTTATACGTAATTACTTTCATTTAATATGCTTTATGCTGTATAATATTGATTAAGAGGCATCAAAAGGTTCCATAATCTGCTTTTATAGGCAAGATTTTTGATAAAAATTTTAAATTTTGAAAAATGATGAGAAAAGGAAAAAAAAGGTAAATGAGAGCAAGAGGAGGGAAAAAAAGAAAAAGAAAAGGAAGGGAAGGGAAAAATAAAAGAAAGAAGGACATATAAAAATTTAGATGCGCATTCTTAATGCCGAGGCGGCTTGCCGCCGAGGCGCGATTTTTTTAGGCCTCCACGGTAACCCGGCAATGTTTTTTTAAATCTTGTACAGCCCTAAATTTTTGGGATAAATTTTGACATCTTTTTTTTGCTGGCGACCCCCTCCCGTTCACAAAAAAAAATATCGAGCGAAGGGGGGTCGCCAGCGAGAACCTTAAAAATAAACTTCAGAAAAAAATCTAAAAAGAAAAAAGCGAAAAGGCCCTGGAGTCGAACTGGGGAACTTAAGGCTTATACTATGACTCTTACCACTGAACTATATTATCTGTGGATCGGTGCTTTATAAATTGTAAATATAAAGATTATCATAACGAATTAAAATGTAAAATAATAAATATTACTCTTATATATTATTAGATTTTAAATTACAAAATAATAATAACAAAAAAAATATTCATGACCGGAGGTTTTAATTAATGTTTAATGAAAGAGAACGATTCATTATAAATTATTGAATGTTAAATTGTTGTAAAAACACATTGAAATATTTGTGAAGAAAATGGCTATTTAATATTGAAAAATAAATAATAACAAAATGTTTATTTCATTTAGTTGCCATTAAGATATGACGGCTATTTAACAAGTTTTTCTTGGATCTTAACCGCCTAACGTTCAAAATTAACCTTTGTGCTTTGATATTACGTTCACATGTTGCCTCCGAAGGAGATGAACATAACAAGCGTAATGCTATTTCCGCAAGGATGGATTTTTCTCCAATTCTATGCGAGATCTCTTCCCAAGCATAATTTTGTGCCTCGTCCATCAGATCGTTCTCAAAGATGTCTGATTCCTTATTGATGAACGTATTATATAACGAGAGTACAAGCGTTTTTTGTCTTTCGTTCAATCGGAATTGAACCAAAATGCGCTTGAGGTAATCTTTAGCTGCTGTTAGATCATTTTCGGCAGTCTGATGATTATCCTCGCGTACATCTTGCAATGTAAGCCTAAGTTGATCATCAGATTCGACAATTCTACGAAATGTGCCTTCATCTGTTACATCAATTACAGCGTTTGTGTTACCTTCCTCAAAAATAGAATCCATGTAAATGTCCTGTAAATCTTCTGCCGGATCTTTATCAGGAATATGCTCACTTTGAAAGGAACTCAAGGGATCGGCCAAATCTTCTACTTCTTCGTTTTTAACAAACTTTCTATGGAAGTAGAACCTTCCTCTCGGCGTGAGAGAGAATGCCAAACACCATAGCCCACCAAAGTCAGAGTCCAAGGTATAGCTATCCAATGAAGATGCCAAGATGGATCCGAATGCATTATGCAAATTGGATGTCAAAAGATTGAGAGCTGATATGGCTTTACGAAGCCAAATGTAACAATTTGCCAACAATGCCTTATCCGATTCGAATACTAAGATTAGCTTTTTAAGAACAGCTAAACAATCTTTCAATTGTACGATTTTATCGTGATCTACATTTATATATTGCTTGATTTTGTTTTCGTACTTAAGAATAAAGACACATATATTATAGTCATATATCCATCTGGTGGATACATGCTGTGGACATTGTGCACCTATATCGTCAGCATGAATGCGACAAAGTTCTGCAATTCTGTGCACATCCTTTACTAAACTTTGTAACTGGTTGTTCTTGCCAGCAATATATTGATAGCTGTTGTGGATTCTGTGACACAAACAGGGAATAAGCAATATCTTGTAGTATTTTGGATCTCTGTCATGATAGAATGAATCATTCCAAGTATCTTTGAAGCATTTTAACTGTGCTGGTCCTCCGTCAACTACCACACTACCTATCTTGACTTTCCTAATGTCAATTCTGTTAAATCCTGCTGTTATTGCGGATTTATAATCCTGACTTGTCTGGCCATCCTTCATATCTATCGCCTCTACTGGGTATGGCTTCATTTGCTCCAACGGATTTGTTAAGACAAAATCAAGATTGTGGTAATCATGTGTCTTGCCTTCATCGATGGCGACACAAGTGTATGCTTTTTTGGCGAATTCGAGAACTTTAGCAAGGTGTATGCTGTTAGCAATAGCAATCATTCTATTTCGGATCTCATCACGTGTAATAGGCTTATATAATTTGTCAGCAAGTTTTTCCGGATTGATATTAGCTGACTGAAGTTGTTTGTATTTGTTCATCATTTGATATATTGTGAACATAATGAAAATCTTTGCAACATGCGTGAATTCTGGGGATGCAAATGTGTCTAAGGCAAGGTTGAACTTACCGGTAAAAATGGTCATTTCATCGTATACATTCGATAAATCCAACATTGGATCATTTGGCTGTTTACCTTTATTGTAGTAGTCAAGTAATGTTTGCTGCGATAATGCTTCTCCGGCCTGGCATGTGTGAACATGAGTCTTAAGCCAGTTTTTATAATGATCCTCCCTTTGTTCTTGCATTGAACACCGGCAAACTACGCCATCAGATCGTGTCACAAGTTCATTGCATTTTACATACCACTTGGGACTACCTTCATGTTTATATCGCATGTAAACATGTTGTTTCGTTTCAAGATCGGGATATGTTGTGAACCCGACTTCTTTCATTAATGAAGTGATTTCTTAAGTTGAATAAAAACAAATTTGATTGAAATTCATACAAAATTTCTTTTTATCATTATTATTTAAGATGCTTTTTTATGTTGAATTGTTAATTTTTTATTTCCACCTGGGATATTTTGAATTGGGCTAGCCCAATCCCACCTCTCAATTTTCTCTCAATTGGGCAATGGGGATCCCATATAAAATGTATTGTAACAAAATTTTACATGCATAATAAAGTACAATTAAACAACATTCTAAAAATATTAAATTCACATCATTTACTTGAAGATTTTATATTTTCAACAAAAATTAATACAATAATTACATTAAATTGAGGAGATTTATAATATTTATTATAAATTAAAATATTATTACTCATTAATTTGTTGAAATATTGCATTTTAGTGGTAAAAATTAAAATTTAAGTTTACATGGAGAAAAAAATTTTAAATTCCAAAAAAATTCAATCGGGATAACGATAGGGACAAAAATTTAGAATCCCCATATGCTTGGGATAAAATCACATGACTAAATGTAGGAGCTTCCTCCTCCAGCACCACAGTTTGTTGGAATTTCTGAGTTTCCACCACCAAAATATCCCCCTCCAGCACCAGCATTTCCGTCAAATTCTCCAAAATTCAATATTAATGTCCCATTTCCGGCACCAAAACCAAAAGTGCCACTTAGACCTTTTCCTTTACCTCCTGAAGTTTGAGTGGCTCCTAAACCATGAAGTTCAGAACTATTATAACCATAAAGACCACCTCCACAGCCTCCTGAATCCAAAACTCCAGAGGAACAACCATCTCCAGATCCTGCACCAGATGCAACGATAATTCGACTTTTCAAGCCCTGATATCTGTGGATCCACCACCAGAATACTGCCCTGGACCACCTCCTCCATAGGCAGGAAGAGGTGCTGTTGTATAATATCCAGAACCAACATGAAGATAAAGAGTAATAGGTTCTTTAAAAACAATTTCGCCTCGAACATAAGAACCATTCGATGGAAATCTAGCTCCTCCACCCCATAATTCAAAAAGATATACGCCAGAATCGAATTTAACGGTATAGGCAGATGAATGTGTGCTATTTTGACCTTTATATGGATAAAGAGTGGTTAAATTCTTAGGCAATTCCTAATGATTTAAAAGGGATAAAGACTAAGAATAAAAAAGTGACATTTTTGTCGTAAAAACATTAGTCTTTATTTATGATCATTTCTTCCCCAAAAAGTGAGTAATAAAGGTAAAATTTCATGCTGCAGGTTTGAAGAGCTCACTTACTACGGCCTCTTCAATGAGAGCCAAGCAAATGCAAATACAAATGTTACACGAGAAGGAAACAAATATACCTTTTATTATCCTTGTTCTGATCCATCAACTTGCACAGACTATACTATTACTTTATCAAAGGGCTCATATAGATTTGAATTGTATGGAGCTTCTGGAGGTTCACTTTTGGACAAGGAGAAGCAGCTATAGATGAAAATTGTAGAAATCCAAAAGGAGTTCAATCTTATGATTTAAATGATATCGCAGGTGCTGGAGGGGGATGGTTTGGAGGTTTCTCTAGCCATAGTCCTTCAGGAGGTGCCGGAGGAGGTTCGTCTTGGGCACTGACAGAAGACGCTATTATTCCTTCAGGTTTGATTGATGCAAGAGATGAATTCTACGAGAACTCAGTTAGTAACAGTTATGCATTCAACAAAACATCAGAATATCTTTTCTATGATGTGACACATGCAGCAGGAGTTTGGGATGGCAATGGAAAACTTGTCATTACAATTCTTGGTAATGTTACTATCAATTTGAATTCATGTGCTAACAAAAATCCAATACCAATTAATTATCTGTTTCTTAGCTTGTTTTTTAATTGATCTGTAAGCAATTATATTGTGTTTAATTATATTAGAATAAAAATTATAGATGTGGTATAAAAGAATATATTAAATCTACTTGAACAAAAACTATAAACTATAAATTATACATAATTTTTTCGGAGATTTGTTATCAATGAAACAAAGATCGAATGTAATTTGAGAATCAAAATAATAATTTAATCTAACTTTCAAACAATATTAGCATGAATAAGAAAGATGAAATATGATTCAGTTGATTACATCAATAAATTGATTGAACAGGTTCAAATCGAAGCAATGTAATGACAATTCGACCATTTCCTTCCCAAACACAGGATTCAGCCACAATATTATGGAAAAGATATGAACTTTTGCTGAAATTATATTCATGGCTTTCAATGAAATTATATTTATCATCGTGAGCGGGAATTTCTCCTGCAGGAATAATTGCATCTTCTGATAATACCCAAGAACTACCACCACCAGCGCCAGCGTTTCCATTGTGACTCGCAAAGCCACCAAACCGACCACTACCAGAGCCTGCTCTATCACTTCCTAGAGAGCCTCCTAATACTCCTTGAGAATTTATTGATCCATTTTCTTGATATGTTTCACCGCTTCCAAAGCTGAAACCAAAAGTAGAGTTTGAGGTATAAGCAGAGGTATAAATGCCAGAACTAAACCATCCTTGGCCAATTAATCCTCCTGCACCTCCTGAACCATCATCTGAACTCAACAAAGCTTGACCTTTGTTATCACAACCTCCTCCAGATCCACTTACAATTACACGATGCCATAAGTCATTTTTATTAAATTTGACAGAAGTTTGGCCGCCTCCAGAACCTGATCCTCCAAAATTACCATAATCAAGATTGCACGATTTACCACCCCCTCCATAACCCCCTTCAATAAGATTTTCATCAAGATAACATTCATGAGTATCATGAGCACCTCTCAATTTCACACCATAATTTCCATGACCGCCAAGTGTAGCATAAGCACGAATTGGTTGAGGAATATAAATATCTCCACTAATATAACCTCCTGCACCTCCGACACTAGACCTTTGGAGACATATTGCATTTCCATTAACTTTTTTACTCTTTCATTTGAGATGCAAGATCCATTAGGAAATCGGTAGGATGATACGTGTCCATCTTCACTTCCTCCACTGGCTCCATATAATTCGAACTTATATACACCAGGAGATATATCAATGACGTAATCTGTGCAATCAATAGAACTTTCACAAGGATAATCGAAGATATATTTATTTTTCCGTTTTTGGACATTAATTGATGAATTTAATAGGGAATATTTAAGCATGCATTGTTTCACCATTTAATGAAAATATGTTTAAGAAATTAAAAATTAATCTCTGTATCATATTTTGATTGAATTTTAAATCACGATTTGTGTTATAATAATATTGTATAAAATTAATATGATTAAGGATGGTCATCATTAAAAATGAAATTAAAAATTAAAATGTAAAAAGTATATTTAGCAAAAATTAACTATTTTAGAAGTAAATATACAACTTGCATCATATTAATATACGAGTTTTAGATTTGTATAACTCAATCTAGGTAATTTCATGATGTTATAAATCAATGATTTGAAGTAAATTTTGATAAATGTCAGTTTTTTTCTCCTGTTCAAATAGAAACAGCGTATCATATTATCAAAGATGTTAAAATATTGAATAGTAATTCAGTTGGATTCATGAAAATAAAGGACTATAGATTTTGAATCATGCACTTTATAATTTTATTCAAAAAATTCAGTATAAATGATTCCAATAGTCGTTATAATATCAGATTTCAATATATTAATAAATTTTATGATTTTGTTTACAAAAGCATTGCAATGAATGGATGAATTAAGAAATTGGATTGAATGTTGTTGATGATTTTGATTGAACAGAGTGATAGGCAGTCATGAGTGCATCGAGATGGAAGTTTACTGATACTGATCAATGTTGTGAGAAATGTTTTGCTTTGATTCTCAATCTCACACCCACATGAAAGATGATCACAGCCTTCAAATGCGTTCTGTGAGATTTCTATAACACTGTCACTAGGAATCATAATGCTAACAAGGTTGATGCAGCTCATGAATGCACCTTCACCGATGTTTGTAGTGCTTCCTGGAAGAGAGAAGAACTTGACTGGTGATGCAGGAGGGAACAAGATAAGAGATGTCATGTGAATGTCAAAGAGAGCACCTGTAACAACAACATAGTTAGAATTCTTGCATGTGATATTCTTGATGCTGAAGCAGTTTCGGAATGATCCGCCTGAAATACTAGAAAGACGACATTCTGATGGAATAACGATAGTAGAGAGTGAGACACATGATAAGAACGAGTCTGAGTATATCTTTTCAAGAGATAATGGACATGTGAATATTAAAATGCCTGTATTGCTAAAACTGTATGAGTTGATAACACTGATAGTCGATGGAAGTTTGATTTCTGATAAATGTGTGTTTCCACTGAAACAATATTCACTAATAGATGTGAGACTCGTACAAATGCTAAGATCAACTTCTTCAAGATTGCAATTTTCAAAACAGTTGTTGCCAATTGATGAGATTTTGTCGTGGAAGAGAACTAATGTGAGAGATGTGCATCCACTGAATGTTGAAAATCCAATTGTTGTCAAAGAAATAGGAAGATATATGTTATTGAGTGAAGTACAATTGGAGAAAACACTATCACCAAGAATTGTTAATGAACTGTCTTCCATCGATATTGTTGTTAATTCATTACAATTCTCAAAGACATTCTTTCCTAAACTAGTACATTCACTCAATGTGATCGACTTCAATTTATAACAATTATAGAATGCTTTGCCACCAATTTTTGTGAGACTTCGTGGTAATTCAATGCACTCGATGTTATTACAGCCTGAAAATGCTTCGTTTTGGACGATTTTGAGTTTAGAGTTAGTCTCGAATATGATTTTTCTAAGAAGAGATTTATCTTTGAATGATGATGATTTGATCTCGATGACATCTGACAAGATTGGAATTTCTTTAGCTTCGTTACCACCAATGTATTGTGAGACTGTTTGATTGTCTTTTGTCATGATAACATAATAATCATTGATATAAAAGTTTGAATTCTCTTTGAAAACTAATTCTGTTGTTGTATCAAATACCTTTCCATTCAAAGTTGTCAAATTCTCTGGCAACACAACTCGCTTTAAGTTTGGACAATTTGTAAAACATCCTGAATTTATTATTTTTAATGATTCTGGCAATTCAATTGAAGTCAGTCTTGTATTAAAAAAGCAGCCAATTTTTAATTCGTATATATTTAATGGTAATTTCATGCTGATTAATGTTTTAACTTCACCAATGTATGTAATAGAATTAGGCAAATTAACTTCGGTTAACTTTGTTCCATAGAATGAAAATCCTTCAATTTTTGTTACAGAATCTGGAATAGTCAAACCATTAATATTTGAAACAATAAAAGAAGCGTATCCTGTTGCAAGTATTCCATTTGGAATTATAGCAGAGTCTGATTTTTTAGGAGGATAAAAGGTTGCCGTCATTGTTCGTTTATCAATAAGAATCGAATTTTCAACATAATAATATGGATTTTGTCTATCTACTGATATTGATTCAAGATTACTATTTTCAAATGGTCCTACAGCTATTGATGTGACCTTTGCAGGTACTTTAAAGTCTGCTAAATGTGTGCTATGGATGCAATATCTTCCTAAAAATTTGATTTCGCTATCAATTGGAATTTCGAGATTGTTGAGAAAGTAGCAGCTTTGAAAACAATAATTTGGAATTTGATTTACTTTAGAAGGAAATTTAAATGAAATTAATCTTGTTTTAGAAAACACATATTCTCCTAGGTTTTGAACAGAAGCAGGAAGTAAAACAGATTTTAATGATAAACATGATTCAAATGCATGACTCGATATAGTTACTAAATGAGTGCATTGACTGAGATCAAATGCTTCAAGAAAACTGCAATAGTAAAAGGAATAACTTTGTATTTCAATAAGTTGTGAGTCCTGTTCAAATTCGACTGACTTAATAGTTGAATTGCATGTTTTGAAAGCATAATTACTTTGTGAACTTCGAAATATGTATTTTGTGTTAGAATTGACTATGATAGAATCAATATTAGAATCAGTAGAATCCAATGATTCATAATTATTTGAATATTTACCTTTATTATAGGGAAAGGCTATTTAAGTAACATTTTTTAATCAAAAATTATTTTTTTAATAGTGACATAATCAAAAAATATTTCATTATTAGTAATTGCGATTTAATGTGAATATTTTTGCAGATAAAATTTTTATTTTGAGAATTAATGTTCATTAAAAAAAAGGTAGTGGGGCTTCCAGGCGCGTTGCGCCCTCTAGCCCCGAAGATGTTTAGTATAAATGAAGTTTTTATTCGGAAAATTGTTAGTCTTCTGGGTCGAAAACATTATATAATGTTTCACTTTTCACAAATTATATATGTTTTCATGTTTTGTCACTTTTCTGTCACTTTTCGGGTAAAAACATTTTTATTATTATATATAAATGAATTTTACAAAACCGCCGTTACCGTTCTTTGGAAATAAGAGTAGATGTAAAGATATTATATTGAGAGAACTTAAGAAACTACCGAATGGTCTAACATTTGTAGATTTGTTCGGTGGAAGTTTCTATATATCCCATTTATGTCATACCGTATTTCCTGACTCAAAGATTATATGCAATGACTTCGACAACTATATGGACCGTCTCAAACATATTCCAGACACAAACAATATATTGAAAGAGTTAAAAGAAAAGATACCTATAGGTAAGATGGAACGTATACCATTAGATAAGAAAAATATTGTGAGAGAGGTTTTGAAAAAAGCAGAATATATAGACTGGGATAGTATATCTGCTAGACTATTATATAGTGTGCTATAAGAGTTCATGACATTGAAACACTTATGTCAAAAGTTTTATATCTTAACTATACAAATGTTTTCAAAGAGGACATAGAAAATATATTGAGGGTATAGAGTTTGTGAGATGTCGTTGGACAGAGTTGTATGAAAAATATAAAGACAAGGAAAATGTTTTCTTTATAGTGGACCCGCCGTTCTATAACAACATGGGATTTTCAATACCAAGTAGACTGGACTTTGAGAGACTCTTTAGAAACTTTAGACGTTATACATAACCATCCATGCTTTTACTTTACATCCGATAAAAGTGGTTTGGAAACCGTTATGAGATGGTTAGAGGACATACATGACTATGAGTTTATATATGACAAGATAGAATATGAGAGAGGTCCTATAAACTGGAGAAAGTGTCACAATAAAGAAATTTTATTAGTAAGTAAATGTGGTTTGAAATAGGACTACTTGTTTTAGGTTTTTTCCATTGTGTCATTTATTTATTTGACGTGGCAGAAAAGTACAGAGAATATGAAGATGAACCAATGCCTGCAAATGTTCAGTATATGTACTCGTAAGAGATATTTTTATCTAATATTAAATGGACGCACAGAACTTAGCGAATGCACAGCAACCTGGACAACCAAACCCAGAGAATATTCCAAATGAAGTTAGAATACAAACTGCAATGGCAAACTATGGTCAAGTGCCAACAGATGTACAAATGCAAACTGCCATGTCAAATGACGCTGCGTTAGGTTTGCCACCATGGTATGCAAATATGAGATGGAAAGAGTTTTATACAAACCCTGAAGTGGGATATAAACAACTTTATGCAGATGACGCGAACACAGGAGTTGACCCAGAATATGTTTTCTACCAGAGGAGAAACAGAATGTATGAGCTCCAGTTAAAGAATGCTATGGAACTCAACAGGAAACGTAAGAGACTAGGCGGACATTAGATTTTTACATATAGTAAAATGGGTTTCTTCAGTAAGATAGGAAACTTCTTTCGAAATGTTGGAAGAGGTATATGGAATGGAATAAAATCTGTCGGAAGAGGAGTATGGAACGGTATCAAAAATATTGGCAAAAGAGTAGGTCAGTTCGTTGGTATTATACCTAAAGACCCTGAACCAGAAGAACAAGCTCCTGTTATACAACAGCCTGAACCTGCACCACAGTCTAGTTGGCAACCAAATCCAACACCTCAACCGGTATATTAAAAAGTTATATTTTTATCGTTCGATAGTAGTTGTATATGAAACTAAGTTCTAAGTAAAACGCATGGTATAATGGAATTATTCTTTTTCTTCCATCTGTAGTAAACCATACTTGAAAGTCTGAAATACTTCCACTCGGCGGTTCATATAACTTTGTAGGTTTTTCGTAAAAGTCATTCATCAGACATAAGAAAGAGTTTTGCGCACCAGAAAATGAAGCATGAACAATAATAGCATCTTGGTCGAAAATATTTTCATATGTTCCATTAGGGTTTTCGACTTCATAATAGTCCGGGTGTACTGGATATGCTGCAGGCTGATTTAACATCCTCATAAATCTAGAAACAATAAGAATTACCGAAAAATTGACAAAACATCAAAAACAGGGAGGGGGTCTCAATTTTTATTACTTATATTATTTTACAATATTTATATAAATACTCTTTATAATATATTTTACTATAAAATTATACCTCAAATTCAAATATTTAAAATATTATTTACATAATTATCTCAAAATTATATTTTTATATATTATTTTTCATATGTATAAATCATATAATCTATATCTATGCAAATCTCATCTAAATTTTTTTTGAAACAAACCGCTACCATTTTATAATGGTCCATCTTAAATTCATCATAAATTCTGGTACATGTTAGTACCAGAGTCTTCAAATCTCAAACACTCTGGTACCAACATGTACCAGACGCGAGTTTCCAATGCCCTCGTACGATTTTCTATTAAGATCTTCTTGAATGAGAAGGTCTTCATAGAAACTCGTACGAGGGCTTCTCTTTTAAATACTCTGGTACCTGCTGGTATCGGAGTCGACTTTACAGCCCTTTCCCCAATTTTGAAGCTGGGGAAAGTTTTCAAGCAATGAAAGGAAGCTCTCGCTATGAGGTGAAAATCTAGAATTTTTACCTCATAGCGAGTAATCCTTTGTTAATTGCTTGAAAACTTTCTTCAAATTATCAAAATTTCGAGGAAAGTTTCCTTGCTTCAAAGTAGAGATGGAGCCCTTTGAGCCACTGCATATAGGTCAGTGACTCAAAATACTCCATCTCTACTAGAAATCGCCAAAATTGGGTCGCAATCTTTGAAATGCGACGCAAGTTTGGGCAATTTCGCGAGGGACTTGCTCCATTTGGTGCATAGATTCACACTCTATGCACCAGATGGAACAATTCTTTCGCTGACAGCGGGAAACTTTGTCTGAATAGTTTAACATTCAGACAAAGTTTCCCGCTGTCAGAGAGGGAATGGAAGGGTAAGAGGTATATATTCATAATGTATACCTCTTACTCTTCCATTCCCTCAAGAAAGTTCAAAAACTTGGGTGCAATCAGAACTGATTGCACCCAAGTTTTTGAACTTTATATAAGGAATTGTTGGCTATGATGTACTGATTCATGATCAGTACATCATAGCCAACAATTCCTTCGCAAACAGTGGGAAACTTTGTCTGAATAGTTTAACATTCAGACAAAGTTTCCCGCTGTCAGGGAGGGAATTAGAGGGTGGGAGATATATAGATAGACTATAAATCTCTCACCCTTTAATTCCCTCAAGAAAGTTCAAAAACTTGGGTGCAATCAGAACTGATTGCACCCAAGTTTTTGAATTTTGTATAAGGAATTGTTGGCTATGATGTGGATAGCCGCTGCCAGACCAAATGAATTAACCGTTGTGAATAACGTTTCTGAATCTTTATTTAAAAAGATAAAATATCACGATTTTGGCTGCGTTAAAAATCAAAGAATTGATGTTTTTGTCAAAAATCTTTTAGAAGAAGTTGCACCCAATTACTTTTATCGTATTAAAAACGATTTACTTCAAACAGGTTTTATTCCTTCAATTAGAATTCGTGAGCCTCGATTGACAGATTATAAAACAAAATTGAAAAGAGAAGTTCAATCACGTTTATACCAAGTATTAAATTTTGTTCAGAATCAAGAAGCCAATTTGAATCCATTAAGATTTTTATTGGAAAATGCTGAAGAAAAACTTTCTCAAATAAATGAGAAGATACAAAATTCAATTACATATTTAAGATCGTTTGAAATTCCAAATGAATTGTTAGATACGTATATGTTAGAAATTAATGAATTTTGTTATAATTCTCCAGATTATATTTTAGAACATTTCGAAGAGGGAACAGGACAAATTTGCCACACAGCACTTTTTTTAAAAAAAATTAATGGAGCGGAGCGATACTCTGCTGCAGGAGCCCCAAGGCTCCCAATCATTACGAAAGGGAGCCTCAGGGCTCCTGAGAATCCATCAGCAGAGGCCTTTTCATTTGGCCTCTGCTGATCAAAGATTCGGCGAAGCCATTCTTCGTCTCAGGAGCCCCAAGGCTCCCAATCATTACGAAAGGGAGCCTCAGGGCTCCTGAGAAACCTCTTTGAGAAGGTTTTCTTAAAGAAAACCTTCTCAAAGATGATTGTCAGCATTCACTCAAAATCTACCAAGAGTTTCAAAGTTTCAAATCTATCTGAAATGAAGCTTTGAATCTCTTGTATATCTAATTGTAGAGGTACCTTTTCAAAATGTCTTCTATTGATTAAATTTAATCAGTAAAAGTCATTTTGAAAAGGTACATCTCTATAATTGCTATTGAGCATTCACTCTTGGAACCTTGGAGCTCTTGTGTAGTGCATGAAAACTCCAAGATTCTAGCATAAAACATATATCATAGACATAATTTCTTCAAATATAATTTAAGGTTATTTTAAAAAATTAGAAAAGCGTAATTTAAGGTTATTGAAAAAGTGACACCTGGCAAATTTGTCCCGCACTCTTTCGAAGAATTTTTAGAGGATTTCAAAGAAAAGAATAATTTAATAGACTAAAAAATTATTATTTTTATTTATTGTGAATTTTAAATTGTCACTTTTTAAGTGTTACTCCCTATTGAAAGTGTCACTTTTTGGGTGTCACTTTTTCGGAAATTCTTATATACTCTGTTCCATTAGGTTTTTCGACTTCATAATAGTCCGGGTGTACTGGATATGCTGCAGGCTGATTTAACATCCTCATAAATCTATACCATGCCAAGTTGTTATATTTTGTAGAAATATAAACGTTTTCTCCAAGGTCTTCTATTTTATTGATTTTAACAGTTGCATTTTTCCTGTCATAAATAATATCGAGATGGTATTCTCCTTCGTCAATGTTAAACTGGTTTGCATATTCAATATAGATATCGTTTATTTTTTCTTGAAAAGCTTGAAGAGTTGTTTCTAAGTTTATAAGCAAATTAACTTGTAAAAGTTTCCTTGTTCAAATTTCTCATACATACGTTTTTCTTTGTTATAGTATCGAACTTCAAAACCGACCGTAAATGGGAAACCATGTATGGCTTCTGAAATGAACTTCATTCTACGAAAGCCAATAGCTTTTGTGACGGATGGGTCTCTTAACCATCTTAATGGGTAGTCAAAACGATAGCCTTCATGCTTTACGGTATCTGTCTCAAACTTTTGACCGACATTAGTAAAAAGTTCATCTAATGGTTTAGTTGTAGCAACTCTAGAATTTTCTTTTTCTATTGGAAGCATATTTTATCTATAATAAAAATGTCAAATGAAACAGCGTCTATGAGAGAAATACAACACAACCGACAACTCATTATGCAAGCTCTAAATAAGAACACAACAAACTTTTCAAACTATTCTAAGATATCTGAGTCATTGAAAGGGGGTGACTTAAAACTGACAATAAACCCAATGACAGATGAGTTTCTGTTTCAAGACAATAAGAACCATACTGTCTGTATAAATCCAACAAAAGGAACTTTAAACGAGAAACCTATAAATGAACTTCTTTTGAAAGCAGATGTTGACAACAAAGCTGACAAAGAATATGTAGACGATGCAATAGCAACAGAAGAAGAAAGAGCTAACAATGCTTATGCAACAAAAGAACATACTCATCCTGAACTAGCAGACAAAACATATGTTGACAATAAAATGTCAAGTGAAGTGACAAGAGCTGAAAACGAATATTCTAAAAAGACTCATATACATTATATTAACCAAATATCAAGTCTTAAGGAAACATTAGAGACAAAAGCAAATAAGACTCATACACATTCTATATCTGATATTACAAACTTACAAGAAACCTTAAACAGGAAAAGTGACGTTGGACATACACATACCATTGCAAATATTACAAACTTACAAGAAACCTTAAACATGAAAAGTGACATTGGACATACACATACATCTTCTGAAATAACAGACTTAAACGTTAGCCTTGAAAATAAAGCAGATAAAACATATGTCAATTAAATATACCAAAGTTTGATAGGAACAAAAAATATTGAAACTATTGTTGGTGACTTTTCTGTCAATGAAGAAAATAAATATTTTAGATGGCAGTTGGTACAGTCCTTAAAAAATAGTACACGGCATAAACTCATTCCGAAAAATAACAATGAAATGTATGTAAGCTATAAAAAGAATGATGGTACACAAGTTAAAGTTCCATTAGACAACAACTGCTACTTAAACTTATATGGAGACGAACAAAAGAAATATTTAAGAGTTTATGAAATGGCAGATATGACTTTGCCTGACCCAGCTCCGGCACCACATTATTATGACTATGGAGATGACGACAGAACACCACATGTAGATGAACAAAAGCTAACATTATATTTAGATTATTATAGATATAAAAGATATAATGCAATAGAAAAAACGAGAATAGTATATTATTATACAGATGACAGAAATAAATATTATAGTCAAGATTTTACCTACCCTGAAAACATAAGATTATATTATAAAAAATATTCTGACACAAACCAGAAGAAACCTGAAATAGTTGCACTATATTTTAAGTTCAAAAGAGACAATCCTATAATATCTCATATGTTTGATTTAATGAACCCAGTAGGTTCTATTTATACATCTATGGATGCAAGAGGTCCTCAAGTAATGTTTGTTGTTGGTGCATGGGAACAAATAGTCGACAGGTTTTTGTATTGTGCAAACTCTTCAAAGGAAACAGGTGGAAGTAAAACGATTACAGGTGAAAATTTACCTGCACACAGTCATTACATAGATTTAAGTACATCTCAAGCAGGTTGGTATAAGCATAGATATTGGGATTGGTCAGGAATGACAAAAGGTAAAGGATATGATGTTAAAGATGACGTTAAGTTTGCTATAAATTGTTACTGGAGTGACACTCAGGGAGAAGGAAACCATACACATTTCGTTTCAGGGTATACGCAAACAACGGGACAAAGTAAAGACTACATGCCACCTTACATGACAGTTTACTCATGGTATAGAAATGCTTAGTCGTCATTTTCAACTTCTTTAGCATATTCGTCAGGAGTTGTCTTATATTTGTTAGGAACTGTCTTTGAAAGTATACCACCTTGAACTTTGACAAGTTTGAAACGAGGTCTGACAATAGTAGTTTTATCTTCTGCTTGCAGTGTGTACATTTTGCCATGTTTGCCTAAAACTTCATAATATTCTCTTGTATACTTTCTTCTATTTTTACGAACACGAATGTGAGTACCTGTCGAGTTCCCATTGTTGTCATAGTCAATAGTATTTTCATATGGGTCGCGTTTAGGTATTTCTATTTTTACTTTGTCACCTTTCTGAAGTTTGAAGCCCGGCATTCTTTCTTGTTTGTCTCTTTTGACTAAATTATTAAATATATAGTCTTTCTCTAAGCCAGGGTTGTTTTTCATTTCTTCGGGGGAGTGGTTTCCCAAACCTTTTTGTTTACGGTTATTGTAAATATTTAAAACTTGTCTCATCTTTGCCTGGGAGAAGTGTCTATATTTGTCGTCATATGACATTTCATTTGCTTCACCACCTTGTGGTTGTTTTAAGTCTCTTAACATTTTTATAAAACCGTCAATGACACCAAGAGCAGAATGGTTTTGGTCGACAATGAAATATTGGTTTACATTTTTTGAATGCAGATAGTTTTTAATATCATCTGATTTGAAAGAACTTTCACAGTCAGATGTCAGTTTTGTTGGATGGTATTTGTCAACGAATATTGTCAAAGCTGCTAAGATATCTAAAATAGCTTTGGACTGTAATGGTATGGCTTCACAGTATCTTGTGTTTTGACCAACAAATATTAACCAGTATGGTGGTCCATCTTCTCCATACATCGGAATGTTTTCCAAGATATCCATAAACCAAGCATTTGGTGTTGAACTAAAGATTTTTATCAGGAGTGCTTTCTTTGTCGCTTTAGAAAACATAGGGGTCCTTGTTCGGATTCGTCATTTTTACCCTATAAGAAATGGGTTTATTTGGCGCATTAGCAGGAGTTGCATCCAGATTTTTGCCCGCAGTGGGAACAATAGCCAGAGGTGCATTTGGAATTGGAAGGAAGATTTTGAGTACATTAGGTATACTTAAAGAGAAAGCACAACCTATTATACAAACTGTACAGAAAGGTTGGGATGTAGCACGAGATGCAACAAATCTTATTCTAAATCCTGAAACAAGAGGAAAAGTTCAAGGATGGATGGACAATGTAGGAAGACAAGCAGGAAACTATGATAACAAAGCAAATGACTACTATAACCAAGCAGGACACTATATGGACCAAGGTGAAAGATTCTTTAACAGAGGATATAACCATGCACAACAGTGGGTAAACAATAACCAACCTCAACCGCCTCAAACGTGGGAATGTAAAGTTTTTATTGAGATGAAATGAACAATGCAGCATTGAGACAAATGAGTTCAAGATGGATTTGTCGGCTTCCAGCATTTAAACCGATACCATATAGTCAGGCTCAGCATGTGAAACTGAATGATATTATTAAAGGAACCATCCCACCTCCACAACAACAACCAGTTGAAAACAAACCAAACTAAAATTTTTACTGAGATGAAATGACCGAAGAAGTTGAAACGGTAGATTTGACACCACAAACAAAAAGTTCAGAACCATTGTCAAAACCTGTCAAAGAACTTACAGATGAAGAGAAAAATTCAATAATAGAAAGTGCCAGGTCTGGAAATACAAACCCCAACTATAAAGTCACTTTTCATAGAAATGGAACGGCTAGTATCTCAAAAAAGAAACAGACTCTCACAAATAAAATATTGAAGTCTGAAGGAGCTTTCGAGACAACAGATGGAAAAGTTTACTTCACTGACCAACAGTTCATTATAGAACATCTCATTGACTTAGAGTCGAAATATTCTAAACTTTACAACAAACACAAAAAGTTGAAAGGAAAACAAAAACAAATGGCATATGATATTTATGAAGATGTTGACGACACAACTGTTTCTGCAAGTGAAGTAAAGTCAGAGAAACCGAAAAGTGACGAAAAACCGATAGAAGAAAAAAACCAAAAACTGAAGATAAACCAAAACCAAAGTTTAGTTTCCAAACTAAACCAAGTCAACCTTCATTAGCTGGTATGAGTTGGCGTCAAAGACTTATGACAGCAGGCGGTTATGTAAAGTAAAGAAAAAAATATTTTTTTATTTTTATAAAAATGCCCCCATATAGAATGGACAGAAAGTCTGCTAGAATAAAAGCAGAGTTACAAAGATATGGTTGGAGAGTTTCGAAGAATTTTAAATATAGGAAGGGAAGACCCATAAAAGTCTATGACAAATTGTCTGGTCTTCGCTACGAAATGGATTTGGAAACAGCACGTGCCAATTATCCAAACAGACTAGAGAGGTTAGAAGAAGAACGTCTTATGGACATGCCTTTCGATGTTAGTGAACCTCAAGTTGAAGGAAACTTGTTTGTTAGATGAGAAATATGAAATTTACTGTTGTGAGTCATTTGAAGTCAGAAACGAAAAGACAAAAAGAGTTTTAAGCGAATGGGAGCGAAATGACGGATATGCTATTATGAAGATGGGTGGAAAACACTATCTTAAACATGTTGTCATTGCAACTCATTTTATACTGAATCCTAACAATTTACCTTTTGTAGACCATATAAACCATATAAGAAACGACAATAGACTTGAAAACTTACGTTGGGTCACTTGTTCTGAAAACAATAAGAACAAAGGCAAATTTGGAGATATTGTATTCGAATTTGTCGACGAACTAGAAGATGAAACAATTGAAATTACAGACTATGGCAAGCATACGTTTGAGTTTTACTACTATAGCGAAGAACAAGACTCATTCTACTTTTATACCGGCGTAAACTATAGGAAATTACAAGTATATTTTACTAAGGCGGGCTATGCTTATGTAAACACTAGAGATACAGATGGAAAATACGTTCAAATACTTCTTAACAAATTCAAGAAGCTATATGGCATACCATTTTAAAACAATATATTTTTACATATATTAAATGCTTCAGGTTGAAAAACAAAGAACAAAAGTAGCAGATACAAAACCGTTAGACTATATCTTTACAAATGCTGGTAGGACTATTTCAGATGAAGAAATTTCATCCCGAGCATACAGGTTTGACTATCCAATTCGTTGGCTTCAAAGTCCTTCAGATGCAAAGGCAATAGGATTTAGAAGAGTTTTGTTTTCAAATAGAACTAACGCATTTATGTTCGCAGTATATTTTCATGGGCAGTATGAAGGTCCTGATGGTCTAATAGACAAATTTGCCGAAATGAGAATCTTTCCAGTTCGTTCAGACGAAAGTCTTGAGAAAACTCTAGATGACTTTCAAACTCAAATGAACAAATATTATTGGGAATTTCAAGGAAAATACGACTCTTTACTAAATGGAACATACTATCTGAAACTAGAATATGACAAGATGAACTCCACCGTTTCATTTCAAAAGATTGAAATTAACCCTCCAAGAGATACAGAGTTTTATTTTGGGAAGTAGACAAACGTTCTTGGGCACAATTTCTTCGGTTACTAAACCAGAACGAACCATTACCACCAGATGGTCCATTTAAATTATACTTCCACCAGCAGATTTGATGGTTTATAGAAACGTGTTTGACCCTCAAAATGTTATGTGTCATGCAAGTTTCAGTTCAAGCAACAATAGTTTTCTATGTATTGGTAAGGACCTTTATGACTTTGCTTCTAAATTCTACGAACCACCTAGTAACAGTTTCTCTGACTTTCAAGTTTGGTTCACAACAAATGGTGTGCAACATATTATTCCATTGTACTATGACTTTTATCTCGATTTGTCTTTCATATATAACTACGGAAAAGTGCTGAAAAAGTATTGAATGTGAAGATATTAGAAAATAACATTTTTTCTAACATCGTAGAAAACTCATGAAAACAATTTATTTTTGACACTTTCACAAAAAACATAAAAAAGTGAGTTAAAATGAGATGTTTACTGAATTGGTTGGATGTCGCCTTCTTAGGTTATGAAGAACGGCCGTCCTGAGAAGTGGAACAGTGCTCTGAGAATTTGTATAATTCGTGGAATTGGACTCTCTCTGTTTGGAAGTTGTATCCATGGGCGCTTTGCAAATAACTTGAGAAGAGCTTCTTTCTTCATCTCCTTTATGTCGTCTACAGGAGTGTTTTCTGGTATTTGTAGGACAATTCCGGTTTCAATTTCGATTTTCAGCGCACCTCTTCCAGACAACCAGAAGCCGAGGGACTTGTTGGCTTTGTCCTTGCCCAAGTACTGCTTAACAACTTCATTTATCTCTATAAGGTAAATTGCCTCATCTAATGGCTCGATGTTGTCCATTGTTCTGTTTCAGAACTAGTCTTGTACTTTTTCAGAACAATACTTGTACTGTTTCAGAACTAGTCTTGTACTTTTTCAGAACAATACTTGTACTGTTTCAGAACAATACTTGTACTTTTTCAGAACAAGACTTGAACTTTTTCAGAACAAATTTCCCGTAAAAGCTCTCAATTTGTGAGAAAAATTTTCTGTTTCAGAACAATACTTGTACTTTTTCAGAACAATACTTGTACTTTTTCAGAACAATACTTGCACTGCTTCAGAACAATACTTGCACTGCTTCAGAACAATACTTGCACTGCTTCAGAACAATACTTGCACTGCTTCAGAACAATATTTGTACTGTTTCAAGACAATGTCCGACGTACCACCAACCGAGTCCATTCCCAAACCAGAGGAACCTAAAGCACCAGCCCCTGCACCTCAGTTCCAGCAAGTACCTCCGAATTACTACCAATTTCCACCTCAAGGTTACTACCCACCACAAGGCTTCCCGAACTACCCTCCTCAGCCTATGCCTTACTTCCCCAACCCTTGGTTGTTCCAGCAAGCTCCACCCCAGCAATTCCAATTCCAATCTCAATCGAAGAGAGACCAAGACTTCGAAGAAGGTCTGAACCGCTTACGCAAAGAGTATGCTACAGCTCCAATTGAGAGAAAGTTGTTTCCGGACCAAAAAATAATGTTTACGGTAGATGGTTAGATCTAACCTCATTTCTAACCCGATTTCTACCCTCATGAATTTTCATGAATTTCCTTAAGACAGAAAAAATAAAGTTAGTTTTATTTTTATTTATTTTTTTATTTTGTATGTAAGAACAGTAATGTCAGTCGAAGCAAAAACGTTCACGAACAAATCTAATGGCGAAACATTCACAAAAGGCACTTATAACGGTATTGAAGTCTTACGTAGAGACAAGGATGGTTACATTAATGCAACAAATATGTGTCAGCAGTTTAGGAAAGACTTTAGAAAGTTGTTGGAAAATAAGTCCTGGGAAGAGTATTATAAGGCATTTTGTGAAGAATATAGCAACCGCCGGAATTCGGACTGTTGCTTTTTATACAAAATTCATGCAGGAAATTCTTGAGTTTTGGATGAAAGAATACGGTCAAGCCAAAAGTGGCTCAACCTCAAAACAAGCATTTTATGAGCTTACTAAGGGCGTTATAAATGAATTCAAAGGTATTTACATACATCCTGACCTCGTTCATTTTGTTGCTGAATTCAGCAAAAATAATTTTTAGGGTAGATGGTTAGATCTAACCCGATATCTAACCCGATTTCTACCCTCAGCCGCTAAGCGGCGAGACCCAAAGGTCTTGAATTTTCATGAATTTTATATATTAATGTTTTCGTTAAGCCACTTTGTGCCGTCAGTCAGTCAGTCAGTCAATGAAATTTACACCAAAAATAATGTTTAGGGTAGATGGTTAGATCTAACCCGATTTCTACCCTCATGAATTTTCATGAATTTCCTTAAGATAGAAAAAATAAAGTTAGTTTTATTTTTATTTATTTTTTTATTTTGTATAAAAGATATGATTTCAACAATCGGCACAACAACAATTCAAACAACAGCACCAAACTCGTTAGTCATGAATCCAACATCTATGTTAGTCGAGATGAAAAGCTTCATTCCTTCTTCATTTACTTTCGAAACAGAAATACAAAGAATAAAGCAAGAACTTTTAACAAGTAATTTAGACTGTACCGCACAGGATGAAGAAAATGAAGAATATCTTTATGACATGCAGGACATTATTGACCATTTACCCAAATTGCCTGAAATCCAACAACAAAAGCTCACTATTCCTGAATTCGATGAAATAGAAGTGAAACCAACTGACTCAGTAGAAATAAAGAAGTTCATACGAAAGGTAAATTATGAGTTTCTAGGATATCATTGCAACCATAAAGTTATGGACAAAGATTGCGACATGGTATATAAGAACATCTCTGACATATATAAATCGGGGGAGTTTAAGACATACGACAACTTTGTTTCATTAGTTGCAAAATGTGTATGGCAGATAAGAGATAAAGATAGAAGAGGTAAGGTATGGCATGAACAGATAAAACCAGCAGCCTTTGAGTTAAAGAAAACCATTGACGCCTTGGTTGTTCTAGCTGGTTTTATTTCAATGTATAACGCAAAAATGAATCCGCAATGTTCTAAATGTAAAGCAGCAATGAGGAAATATAACTACTCCGTCAAAGAGATAGAACGTATGAGAAACGACTATGCAGACTTAAAGAAAGAAGCAGAGAAGCCGGTAGAAAATAAAATGGACATGCTGTCATTTCTGAACAAAAACTATCCAACTGCTGACGATTTCCTTCTATCTGACGTCAAGAAGAAGTATAAAGAAACCTTCGGCATTGTTAAAATTTTTGATATCCTCAGCGAAGAAATAGAAGCTACAAAACTGTTTAGAATCTCACGAATTCATAACGTTTACCATGTAAAACGGTTATAAATAATGAGGGTAGAAATCGGGTTAGAAATCGGGTTCGATCTAACCATCTACCCTAAAAATTATTTTTGCTGAATTCAGCACAAAATTCTGAGTAAAATGACATATGGCACGTGTCAAACCGTTGAGTTTTCACAAAATTTAAAAATTGCTGAGGAAAGTTCGTCAAAAAAGTGAAGGTTCCCGACGGTTTCAAACCGCCATACTTTACATGAAGATAGTTTACAATCTCAACTAAATATCATGTACGATAGAAACGGTTATGTAAAGTTTACATTTTGTAAAGTTTTGTCCTGATTCAAGACAAGTCTTGTATTTTTTCAGAACAAGTCTTGTATTTTTTCAAGACAAATCTTGTCCTGATTCAGAACAAGACTTGCACTTTTTAGTCAGTTTTTCTTGTAAAGTTCTCAAATTTGAGAACAATTGTCCTGATTCAAGACAAGTCTTGTATTTTTTCAGAACAAATCTTGTATTTTTTCAAGACAAATCTTGTCCTGATTCAAGACAAGTCTTGCACTTTTTCAGGAAATCCTATCGTCCAACTTTACAAACGTCACTTTTCAATATGATTGCATTTTGGCCGGGGAACAACTTTCTCTCAATTTTGTCACTTTTCTATCGTCGTGTTTTGTCACTTTTCCCTCAGGGTGTGTGTCAGAAAATATCCAAAATCTTTATAGCCTCGTATCTCCTTCAATTCTTGACGGTTTGACATGTATGACACACAATTCGATTCAGAATTTTGTGCTGAATCTTATGGACTTCATTTGTTCGTGACTTCTTTTCACATATGTAACCATGAATTTTTAACATTTCCTTAAGACAGAAAAAATAAAGTTAGTTTTTTATAAAATATTTTTTTATCCTGTATATAAGAAACAGTAATGTCAACAACAGAGAACACAACAACAGTTATAGTCCATGAAGCTATAAATGAAGAATACGAGTACATACAGTATAACAAACAGTTACGCCTCATTCGTTCGGTCAAAGACGATATGTACCAGATGCAAAGTATAATGAACGCTCTTCGTTCTACAAAGCAAGCATATCATTGGTTTGAAAACCAACAGACAAAAGAACTTTTAGAAGAATTTCCTCATATGATTGCTTCCCTCGGAAAACCGGGGGAAGAGATTCCGTACGAAAATCGCAAGAATTTGGCTCCTGGTTTGAAAGGTTATTATATTCATAGACTTTTAGTAAATGCTGTAGCAATTGGGGCTTCACCTCGTTATGTTATAATTTTCATGATGTTAGATGAACTATATAAAGCAGAACGTGAAGAGATGGAAAAGAAACTTCATGCAAAAGATGAAGTCATTCAGAAAAGAATACCACGTTCGGTACCAAAAGGAAAGGAAAAGAACTATAAGTATATGATTTATACTGATATGGAAGACAGTGACATGGTTATGTTGCATTTAGTCAGAAGAAACAAACAAAAGCTTTTACGACTTGCTAAGATTTACAAAACTGACAGAAATTGGTTCTATCGCGAAAACTTACCGATTTCAATGACCCCAAATGAAGATGTGAAACAAATAGTTCAAGATACGTTACCTCAAACACACTATGATATTAAAGGTTGTACAATACTTACATTCAAAGAAGACTTAACATTACTGAAGGAAAAAATAACAGAGTATTTGACAACTTCAAACAAGTAGGGTAGATGAACTCTTTATTTTTCAAGCTTGACTTTTTACAATTTGAACTTTGTTTGCGTAGATATGAATTCTAAAAGAAGTATGAGGGTCTTGTATGACTTTGTACTTCTCCCATAGTTCATGTCTGTCAAACTTACCTGCCATGGACTCTTTCATAAGTTCCATGAAATCGTCTTCGGACAATCCGGGGAAAAGTATTATGTCAGTAAGTATTCTTTTAACATCCTTACTTAAACTCTTGGCTGTCTGTACACAAATGACAACTGAGATGTTAAAGTGTCTGAGCTTCTTAAGAATTCGACACATATCTTGTTCTCTGTTCTTTAACAAAGGATGAGAGGCGAAATCATCTAAGATAAGAAGACATCTATGAGGGTAAGTCTTCCAATCGTAAGATTGCAATTTCTTCGAAATGTATTCTATCTCTTTCTGTTTGTTTCTGAAGTGTTTCTTCTCTAATATTCTCTGCATTTCCTCATTTGGGTCTTTGAACTTAGAATTTATATACTCATTTATAGCATTATACTTCAAAACTCTTCTTTGGTACTTCTTTATCCAATCTAACAACTCAGTATCCTTTATACATACTAACTTAGACTTCTTTATAATATCTTTGAACGAATTGACGGTTTGGTCAAATTGACCAGAAGTCGAACAAATAACAACTAACTCATAGAATGGGTTCTTCTCATCTAGTTCTTGTTGTTGTGCAGCCATTTTAAGATAAGTGAAAGTCTTACCCGACCCAGGTGGTGCAATTAGACCTGTTATACCATTCTGAGCAAATAAGAACTTGTCATGTATAGGCTTTATCTGAGCATTTTCTAACTTCCTCTTGTTCTTGTTTAAAACATTCTCAAATTTCTTGTCAATGTCAGCAAACTTTTTTTCTAACATATTTTTAGAAAAATTAAAATTTTTATCTTTTAGAAAATGTCTAGCGATTTCGCTATCTATATTCGAGAGAAACTTTTTGACAGCAAAACATCTGTCGACCATAAAATCTTACATAGTGTAAACAAGAAAGGTGAATTTGTTCTAAAGTTCTGTTTCTGGGAATATGACAAGAACCATAAAACATTACAAAGAGCAGTCTTAAAATTTGTCAATGACAGACTTGTTGACAGAAATGACGCCGATTGGAAAGATGAAGTCCAACAAAAGTTCTTAGAATGCAAAGAAGACACATGCGCTGTTCTTGAAGATGAAATAGAAAACAGAATAGATGAGCTATTAAAGGACAAAGAACTTTTACATAAATATGGTTCTGAGAAATTTGACGTCTCACCACCAGAAAAGAAGAAGAAAGAAAAGAAAGAGAAAAAGAAGAAGAGAAGAAAGAACCTGAACCAGTTCCAGAGAAAAAGAAATTTGACATGTAAAAATAAAATTTTATTTTTAGAACATTTCTGGGTCAATGTCAATGTTCTCTTCCTCTTTAGGAGTAAACACTGGCTTAGACTCTAAAATCTTTTTACCCAATTTACCTTGAACTTCTACAACTTTAGACTCATAATATTCATAGTCGTCTGTCTTCTTTGGTTCATAAGGT